CGCCATTGCGTCTTATCGCATCGCAGATGAGCATTATTACGTCAAGCGTTGTATAGAGAGAACCAAATGTAATGTGGAGGAATATTGCAAGACGCGAGAAGACAAAGTCGATTGTAAAATAGATTGCTGCACTGGAGACTTGTGTAATTCAGGCACGCGTCGAGAGTTAAGCATCTTTCTAGTCATCGCTATGATTTTGTTCGCGTTGTTCTTACACTGGTAGCTTATTGCGTTGATGGTTGGCGTCTGGTGCGCGCATATACGACACGAGATATACGCCGTTTGCAAGGAGAAAAATCGCACCGTGCGACATGTATATTGATTGTCCCTGGGACTGGTTGTGACTGTTTTATACTTATCTGCGACGTTCAATCGGATGATGAACATATTTCAAAAGCTACTGCCTACCATTCGAAAAAAAATAATTAAAAAAATTTTAAATCGCAATTTCATAAACCCAAATTTAAAGCTTATTCTAATTCTGTAAAGAAAAAAAGGGTCTTCCGAGGTGGTTTTCGACTGAGATAATACACCTTTCATATACCTAGCGGTTGATAAACGGTGCGTTTTTTCTCTGTTGCATTCAACTTCGTTCGATTAAACTTGCATTGCATGTTTTCGCTTTCATTTATGCATAGAGGTCATGTAATTCACTTTATCCAGATAAAAGGGTGCCAATGGGGGTATATACCCAATTGACTACTATTTTTTCGGCTGAATGACAGATTATTACTGTAATAATTTTACGAGCGCTGTCCATAATCTTAACCAACACAATGAAATATCAGTTAACTATTATAAACTACTAGTAAGAGTGGTTTTCATAAACCCGTAATATACGTAATATACACACTATATATAGCCTAATAGAAATTAGTTGACCCTAATTACATTGTGTTCTTTTGTTGGGATTTCACTATTACACACTAACTAATGGTATCTGTTTTACGGGTTTATGAAAATCACTCTAATTTTAGAATATTTGTCAGTTAAATACTGTTTCAGGTAAGCCTCCATAAAAAATCAGCAACATATTTGTCGATTTCCTTGAATCATTGTATTGAATATCTAAGGTTGTCTGGGGGTCTCTGTTGCTCAGGTTCTAACCTCAATTTGGTTTGCAATATTCATGTGTTCCACTGATGGTCAACCTGTGGAATTTCAAAATGTTTGTATTGTTGAAGTTAGCATTTGCGAATATTTTGACGCTAAAATGCGGCTATCCCTGAGTAAATGAGTCTGTAATCAGGAAACATAAAAGTATTATATGAATACAAAAGGTCTATTAATTAATGTGACTGTGATCACGTGACCTCTACGAAATTTCCTTCGTTTCCTTCATACGTCTTTCTATATACAATATCTGTAATCAACGTTTTGATACTAAAAAATTGTCTTGTTTTATTTAACTTGCTTCTGATTGGTAGATCAAATGTGTGGTTGGCCAATCAGGAGATTGAGATTGATTCTCGTATTTGGAGCAAGTCCAAGGTAAAGGTCAACCGATTACATTTAACGTCAGCAGCTGCATGCATACCATATCCGTAAGTTAACTAACAAAATCGTAAAAAAAAAAAACAGTGCAAAGTTTTGTAGATCTACGGTTTACTGATTTCTACTGAACTTACTAATTTGTGCAAATTTGTGAATTTTCGTTTTTCACGAATATATGTTATGCACTCTACCTGAGATGTTTTAATGAAGTTTACTGTCCTGTAAAAATAAGATATTACCGGGTAATTCTTCTAGTACTCTTTAAAACAGATACTGTGTAGTCATTTATTGGGACAATATTTTAATACAACTGGGAAACCTATACTTCTGTAGTAGATGATAGGCTCTCGCTATTGTTTCAATAAGGACCATTATCATACATATGATTATGCTTATTATACGTGAGCTTATACAGCTTAGCCTTTCCTTTTCTATCTCCCTCCCTCCGTATGAGTAGCCTGCGCTGTTTGATGGTCTGCGCGCGCACGATTGTATAAAAATAGCCTCAGACCGCTTAGCCAAAAGTAACGCAGGCTACCCTTCAATCTACGAGCGCTAGGTTTTAATTAAGAATATTTAAAAAAAGATAAATACTAATTGAAGGATTTTCAAACACTACCGTTTTTAAGTAGTTAAGTAGTCTACTTTTTGTATGATGAAACTGGAAATAATTCAAATAAAACTTATATTGTTAAACTAAGCTAAAGTGTTCATTACCAACAGAGCCCTCGTCCTTCGCCACAGGCTCTGGGTACGAGATAGACTGCAATGTCTAACAGTACGCATGCGCAGTAGCCCATACCTTTTCCTTAAACAATCTCGTACCCAGAGCCTTTCCTTACAGCACATGCTTGACAAGTTGTATTCATATCCATGTCTTCTCATGAACGACTGTTAAACAAAGAAACTATAATCAAGGGAATGGTACGAGGTCTGTAATGGGAAAACCTTACATCCAAGCTAAAGGTCTATTGAATATTAGTCTAAACCAGCTAATGGTCTATCATAAATCCTGCACTCTCATTGGTTGAGCTACTAGTGGTCTGTTAAAAAAAACGTGTTTATGAAAAAGGAGTGTTTAGTATGCTAAAACAATTAAACCTCTTGCCCTCATGGTCAAATATGTAGTCCTTAATATAAACATACTCATAATCGGCTGTCACAAATCCTGCACACTGCTGATTGGCTGAGCAAGCTACTAGTAGTGTGTTAGTGATAGACCACTAGTACTGAAATCTGCCAGTCAGTGAAAACCAAAACTACGCTAAAAATACCATTATTTCAATCTCATTTCATAATTTGCAAGGGTGGATCCAGGGTAGGGGGATAATGTTCCATCATTAAACAAAGAAATGATACTCTAGGGAATGTCACTTGGTCTGAAATTTGCATCATTTCCAAGGTAAAGAGGTCTATTTACAGGGCTGTCAACCCCCGAGATATTCAAATCTGGAGAATTGATAGGGAAGGGACATGACGTCACAGCGCGTCAAAAAGCGCGCGAAAAAGACGTCTTTCGCTTTGTAACATTTGATGTGATTGGTTTATTTCTGACCAATCAGATTATCGCTTATATTACAATGACCTGCTTGCAAGAACAGTTTATGAGGAAAGTTTTGATTTTGTTAGCGATTTAAGATAACACAAACAACACAAACTAATTGGAATTTTATGGTTGTGAAAGTCGATTCCCACAAGAAATGGTCAGCTTCGGGGATTATCCGGGAGATTTGAGACTTTAATCTGGAGACCGGGAGATACGGTCCAAAATCTGGAGACTCCCGGTTTATCCGGGAGAGTTGACAGCCCTGTATTTAAGAGGCTGATGGGTGCTCTCTTATTTTAGACCATTGACAACTTATAAGTTATTATATTTATTAGCAATGTTAGAGTGAAGGCATAGTTTAACCCGTGAAACAAAATAATTTGTTCCAGAACCAAAGTGCTCAGTGTTGTATAAATAAATGATCCCTTACATTACATCATAGTCATTAACATACTGGAAATATAAACCATCATAACAGACCCAACACTCAAATGATAAAATATTTTCACATTCAACTTTTCAATGCTGAAAAAATCAATTCTGACAATATTGTATAATAGAATTAGGCTATAAGCAATTTATGTATTATGTGCGTTGTCATATAAAAAATGACAAATGACAAATAGGAATTACAGATTTTGGAAATACCTTTTTTTGTTTTAATTCTAAAGGCCCCTAGATTGATGAAAATAACTGTTTTAGTATATAATATGAATATAAGGAAATAATATCAAAAATGTCAGTCTATAACTTCAAAACACTGAAATAATCACACCTGTTTTGCTTTAAAGAAATAAATAATTCCTATTTTCCATTGTTATTTTTATATGACAACATTCCTGCAATAGTCCCTTTTCTCATTCCGTAAATACCGTGTTTTATGACTAAAGACTCATCTTCGCAGGCCTAGCCTCGCTTAAGAGTAAATCATTTGCAAATGTCATCTTTAATGTAAAGAATGTGCAGCTTCAACAATACCAATGTTTTGAAATCCCTTGTACCTTTAATCGTATCTGTGAATAGCCGACTCATAAACGAGGCTAAGCCTGTGCAAATGAGTCTTCAAAAACAGCGGTATGCATTGAATGTGAAACTGGTGTATTAGGTTTATCTATCAGTGTTCTAATCTTAAAAAGATACAAGGATACAAAAATAACTTCAGCAAAAGAGATTGACGGCATGTGAAGAGCAGGGTTGGATGAAAGAATCAACTGAATCTCTTTCCTTGGAGGACAAGAACTTTCCTAAACATGCTTGAGTGACCACGAAACGATTGCTCCTGTTCAAGGTTGGACTAAGATTCAGTACATGTATGAACACATCATGTAGCCTCGACTTTGGGCCACTGTTTCACATGGTCACTCAGGCAAATAATTTGGGAAAGGTCTATTTATCATTTTCATAAAATAACGATTCTCTTTTTTTTTTTTTTTTTACCTTTTACTTCAAAACTGTTTTAACAGCATACATTTACTTAAACTTGGGTGCAAGATTTTGGACAAGTCCATCTATAGGGCAATGGGAATATTTTGGATGCCCAAACTGATACATTAATATAAAAATACAGTACTGATACAGTAATATAACTGATACAGTAGTATAGAAATCAACAAAAAATCAACAAAAAAATCATGGAGGCTACAGTTCTTGTTCTTCTGAATCAACACAAACATCATTAAATAACTTTGCAAAAGTTTACTTAAGGAAAATTCATTTTTTTCAGAAGGGTTAGGGGGGAGAGGGTAGGGTGGGAGGAATTCACATGGACTGTCATAGAAAAAAATTAACGATTACCCTCCCCTCTCTTCAAAAAAATGAATATTGCAATGCTACTTATCATTTTCAGTCTTCTTAATTAAGTGAGAGAACATTAGACTGAATAATTACCTCCCACCATTTATAGCTGTGTAAAAATGTGATGGTTCTCCCTTTAATTTTCCTCCAGTGCCCCCCCCCCCCCCCTTCTAAAGAATGAATGTTCCTTAAAGGTTCCTTCAACAATTATGCTGGTGGCAAATTAAAATCTCTATAACTAACATAAACGGTTAACTTTTAGGTACTTTGTCTTTCAGACGAAAATGCACTAGAGCTTAAATGTCCATTGTTGCTTTCTCCCTCGACTCTGTCCACGCCTTGTTAAGCGTCCTCTTCATTTCATCATCACCTTCGTCATACATCTTTTTCATCAACTCCATTATCGATTCCTGTGGATCTTTTGCCTTATCATCAAAACCACTAGCAAAATCCCGTGAAGATTTTGCTGTAACCTTTTTACACACATCTTCCCATTTTTCCTTTTCTTTCTCTTTTTTCATCATTACTAAGAGACTTCCACTTTTCACTTTGACATAACTTTCCTCACTTACAATGCCATGGAACAGTCTAATGATCTTCAACTGGTAATTCTTGCCATCAAGGTCATACACTTTCACATCCATTGAATTCCCTGTAAACTTAGATGCAATTTTCTCTTTGGAAAGCTTTTCAACGCCTGGTAAAGTTATGTAAACCTTCACAAATTTATCTGACTGATCCCATGCATAGCTTGTAATGGATGTCGTATATGAGCAAGGTTTTAACTTTTTTGGCTCTCCAGTAGTTTCAGGTTGTTCAGCCTTTATTTCTCGATGTGCTTGATGGCTCATTTCATCGTGTTTTATCAGCGCCATTTCTTGTTCTACATTCAGTAGTTCCCTCTGCAACACTTCCTTAACACGTGTTCTTCTTGACATCGAAATTAAACTGCGTATTTCGTCTGCATCCAACTTGTGGTCCTCTAAACTCGCCATTCTGCTAATATTTCAGCTCTGAACTCTTTCTTATCGTAAAAAATGAAAATGAAATTGTAAGTTTCACGATAAAAAGAAAGACAGTTAACACCCTTCTGGAATTTTGTCAGCAGACTACCAGCATATTTGCAGCATACTGACTAATTACAAGGCCACTTGCTTTCGATGGTCGTGACTACGATTACTTAACGAATAAATATCGATTAAAACTTCGTTTTTTTAAAAAAAGTTAATAATTTTAAAATTAAAACTAGAAATATTACTAAAGATTAAGCATCGATGGTTTTCCATGACAATTTATGCGCTGAATTCTTTTTCTTTACTTTTCTTCTCTTCAGATACATTTTTCTTTATGATAGGTAAAATTCGGATTCTGTCGGAATATTTTCGAAGAAAATAGAACACGTACGAAGAAGTCCGAAGATAGTCGAAACTATCACGACGGGCTACGAACATATTACGAATTCTTTTTGATGATCGATATGTTATCGATTAACCTTCGTTTCACCTTCGTGTTTTGTATCGTGTCCAGCGGAGACACAACATGGTTCTACAAATTGACTGAAAACGAAGAAGAATTAGTGTTCAAATTTTCTTCCAAAGAATGAAAAAATGGGTAGCTCTTCTAGGTGGAGCGATGTTCTGTGTTTTATTTTTCTCCATGTACATGGTCGTGGATCAATTAGGGAAGACGCCGAATTATAGAGAAGCCTTTGAAACCAAGGTAAGCTTATTACAACACCACACTTTCAAGTTGTATGAAACTTTTTCACTATTTTGATGTTTTTGTTTAAAGCTATGTCGTTACATTCCGTATGATTGAAGTCATTATTCACCTAAAGTGATAAGATAAAGGATTATTCTATAATCTAGGCATTCTAAAATGTCTATTTTGTTTCGATTTTTGCATTTTGTGAACTTTAACTTAAATTTCACGTATTCTTAAAATTTTATAATATAGCTAAGTGAACACGTTGCGATTTTAAGCTTATAGTTTGTCTGCTTTCTATGTCTTTCTTCGCCACTTTTGAGCTCAATTCTGCAAAGTTTGACGATTTTTTAAGCATTATGAACACATGTTTTAACAGCTGCACCTAGTAGCCTTGGCTAGGCAATATTTGAAGGCTTAGAACACATGTTTAGAATAATTATGACCAGGTCTTTAAATGCGATCTTAAATATTTATGTCTTCGAATAATATCCCAGAATTGCTTTTTTCCCCTTCTTTATCATATCATTGTATTTTTGGACGTTTTGTCGAGATGACTATAGTTACTAACTGTATTGTCTAGCAATTGATTAAATATTTCCAAATCTGAGAATAAGAATACCAATCACTAAACTTTAGATTGAACTCAAGAGGCTTAATTAAAGATATCATAAAGCACAAAGTCTTTGAATTGTAAAGACTGTACTTTGATAGTGGTTTGTGGAGAGCATGAATGAGGGAGAAAGAGAAGTCTTATTATTGAATTTAAAGTTTTCAGAATATTATTATTTTTTAAATGATTTGCCAATTGAAAGGTAAAGTTATGCATGCATAGCATAAGTCCCCAACTAGGTAAAACCAATGGCTGCATGCATGCCCAGGGCTTACAGTAATGATGGATCAGTTTGCCAGTCATGATCACAGGTCAAATTAGTTTTAGCTCAGTCATACCATATTTTCTGGCTAAACATTACTGGTCAAAATGACTGGCAAGTTAAGATTGGACTGGATAAGTCCCAATCCTGGGCAGACATTGTCTGATGTCTGGGCGTTATTTTATGCCCTGATGTCGTCACCTGGTAATGTAAAAACCCCTAGAACTATCGTCATTAGAATCTCAAGAAAGATATGGAGGGTAGAGTTCTCTGTCTAGCAAGTTTTCATCCTTAATTACCTGACCTTCCCATGGAGAATTGGAACCTTTATACAGTGAGTGAAGAGGATGAGAATAGCATTTAGTTAATCCCTTGCCTCCCCACCCATGACCATTATATTACATCCGGCCCACAAGCTACCCCAGAAGTTCGGTCTTTGGTACTCGTAATAAGCTATAATCTTTGGTTGGCGATCATTAATAATGAAATAAATGTGGTCACTGAGAATGAACTTGTGCTTAGCATAATATAAACTGCTGGTCTTGGCTTATTTCCTGTAAATCATATGGGAAAAATCCATAGATGGCTGCCAGTAGCTTGAGCGACTACATGTACCTTGCTAAGAAATAGGTAGCCTGGAAGACAAGGGGTAGGAGCCTACTAGTTAAGTTGTAGTGGGACTGATGTCTTTTAGTTGGGAAAGAGAATTGTTTTGAATAGACTGCATTTGACAATCATAATCCTCCCATATCAATATCTTTTATCTTTTATTATATCATATACGCATGCATGCACCATAATCACTGCCGTTCCATGTTTTATTCAGGAACTCAAAGCACCAGAACCAGGAGTTTGATTTTGAGATAGGTGTAAATTGAAACATGATCACATATCTTTTAATGCTTTTTTCTCCTCACTGTTGTGTTTTATTCCATCCATCACCAGCCAACAATGACATGCAACATTGCCCTTCATGTGCTTTCAACCAGAAAATATTACAATGCTAATTATACAGCTTTTCATTAATCCCATATAGGTAACCGTCCAATTATTTTCTTTTAATTGGACAGGTCTTTTCGATAATGGAATTAATTAGACAGCTAGTATATAATTAATAGGTAATGGGATTTCATGCTCCCCAATCAAGAAATAATTAGACTCGAAAAATTTCTCTGACTGCCAAATTGGACTCGGCCTATGGCCTCATCCAATTTTGTCAGTCCTCGGAATTTTCCTTGTCCAATTATTTCTTAATTGGACAGCATGGAGTCCTATTACATATACTAATTGGCATATCAATTGTCTTGGTTATGATTATGATCAATCTCATTACCAGCCTAGTACAACATGACTGAGGCAAACACTGCCATTCATGTACTATAAACCAGAAATTATTCTATTGCCTGGTATCAATTATTAGCTGAATAAATCTTATTATCAGCCTACAATACAATGAAAGGCATAAACTGACTGTCATGTGCTATCAAACGAAAAGTTATTCCTGACAAAGAATATATATATATATATACACACACCCTGTACGAGACAAGAAATAACGTCTATTGATACAGTTTAGCATTACATATTATTCACTTCTTATATTACATATTATGTTACATGCAGTAATACAGCTGTACATGTATGTTTCAGACATACAGTACATATGTAGTGCAATGACTCCCATCAATGTTTTATTTTCTCGCATTTCTTCTTTCAGGTAAATGAAAAGATAAAAGTTCCCATAAAAAACTTAGAGCATGACATGCAACAGCTAGAGGGAAGCCTACGAATGTCAGGCAAAGTTATTAGCCGAATGCAAGACACTGTAGTGCGTTTCCATGCTGGAGATCCACATCTTAATTTTACCATACAAGATATCCACATACCAACTGTACATAACTATAAAGAAGAACACTTTACAACTACTAATAAAAAACCTGTATTACAGGTACATCAATTACGTACTGAGGGGAAATCCAGTAATTATGTAGAAAGTGTACAGGGAAAAACCAGTGATGGTGTTGATGATGGATGTGTTTTCTCAAGAGTAAGGTCTTGGAAATCTACAGATGTTAAGGTAAGTTACTGTAAGTGCAAATCAATTTGATATGTGAGTTTGCCATGCCCTAAGTTATATATTATTTAGTTCAGGTGGTTTTTTACAGTTGATCTGATCCCACAATAAGATATTCTTTTGTTTTAAGAATCATACAAGTGAGGCTATTGGGTTGATACAATGCTTGTTGTCTCATTTGCATCTCATTTCCATGCATCCRTAAAAAAAGAAATCACTTTTATGTAAGTGTCTAGTCGTTCTAGCTCTTTTACACTAATTGGGGACACTTTTCACTCACACGCTCGACCACTATATTTAATATTCTGTGCACACAACGCTCAACTCACATGTTGATTTTTACAGAGGGAGGGAACCGGAGAACCCGGAGAAAACCCTTGTTGCATAGGAGAGAACAACACATCAAACAAACTTAATTCACTACTGGCAACCACAGCACTCACTGGCAACCAGCGACCCCACCCGTAGGACTCACAGCAGTGAAAGACGACGTGTTAGCCGCTAGACGCCACCCATGCTACCCATATCGTAATATCTGCTATTGAAGCAATCAATTATTATCCATCTTTTGTGTCTGACTCACTCTGCCTTAAAATAAGGATCACAACAGCAGGTTATCAGCAGCAACAATTAATAACAACAGCTGAGAGCTCAGCATGAATAACAGCAGCAACCATAACAACATTACCCTGTATAAGTAGAAGCAGCATGCAGCAATGCCAGCAGCAACAGCAGCAGCTATAACAGCAACAGCAGAAGCAAAAATAGCAGCAACAACAGCAGCAGCCATCAGCAACAAGAGTAGCAATAACAGCAACAGCAGCAGCAACAGCAGCAGCAATAACAACAACAGCAACA